CTTCATGTGCTCACTCTAATTAAATTAAGCAACAAATAGAGGTAACCTAACAAACCAAAAAATGCCCAATAATCTAATACTATCATTAAGATAACTATAATAATAACTATTTCAACTTTTTTTATATTCATATAGATTTGTAGTCTATTTATTTATACAAAAAAAAAATATTAATAAGAATATTATTTTTATAATACTATTATAATAAAAAGCTTGATATTATTCTTATGATACTTGTCTTTCTAACTTTCATTAATTATAATATATTTGTAAAGATCTGTTAAAAATATGTAATGGCCTTGATAAAACTATTCTGAAAAAAAAATTTAATAAATATGTTGCTAATAATATTTAACAGATAATATAATATATTTAATAAAATAGATTAACAATTTAGACACATTATCATTGTAATTTTTTAGTTTAAAAAATTTATTTGCACTTTATCTTTACTTATAATATACAAATCTAATAAATTACAAGTTAAATGTTTAATTTGATGATCAAATAGTTTTAACCAAATTTATTTTTATTATTTGACTTTATTTAAATCTATTTGTATTATTCTTTTGTGAACCTATTAAACTATTGCTGTCAATTTAACTCTAATAGCTTCTTTGTATCAGAACTTAATTTATCTAATTACTTATATAACTTGTTATAATAACTTAAACACATTATTATTATATACCTTAAGAGTTAATATTTATAAGTGAACAATGATATAATAATATGCAGGATGCAAATTCTATTGTAAAATTTCAAAAATTTCTGTTTATATATGACAATTTCTAGTTCAACTTTTCAATAAGCAGAAAATTTCTAAATAATATCATATATATATATGTATATAAATATCAATAAATATCACAATATTTTTATTAAAAAACTGTTACATCTGGCTGAGTTTTCTAAGTTCTAGTTAAAATAAATACTGCCAAAGAAAAAACAGCTTCTGGCATTTGGAAATTTTGTGCTTTGATAATATATAAGGTAAACATTAAGAATATTAATGATTTAAGGATTTAATAAATAAATATAATGTTCTAACTATCTAACCACAAACTTTAAAATTATTTAGCTTATTAAGTATATTGGCTGAACATTTTCTACTAACCCTACTTATAACATTCTATTTACTTTAAATGATGGAACTATTTCTCGTGAATCTCTTCTTTTTTTTCATCCAAATATTCTATTTTCAAAAAACAACTTAGATATTACAAATTACTCTTTCTTAACTAACTTAATAATATAATAATTTATACTTATTATACTAGAAACATATTTCTTCTAGATTAAACAAGCTTCCTAAAGGTGTTGTATCTCAATGGTTCACTACTCTTGAGGACATTACAACAAGTCACTTTCACCAATGTACTCTATATGATTACTTTAATTTACCTCAAACAAACTACTTTTCTTAAACTACTAGTCACTTTACCTCTAATACCAAACCCTGGTTACTTATTATTCTTAATAACCAAATAATTATTGGCAAGGCCAGAAGGCATAATACTCCTACAGGCCTTATCCTTATTACTTACTGACACTCTCATATCAGTCTCAGTTTTCAAACCTATATCCTACTCCTCTCTCTAGTACTATATTGTGTTCTGGATATCATCTTAATTCCAATACAATTGCCAACAAATGCACTATCTTTATTCCTACAAATCTGGTTACAAAACTACTCTGCCATATTAATACTGATAAAACTCTTAACCTACATGTCAACTTTCTTGATATTGCATACTCTATAGCTATTTGACATCCTTTATATATTCCAACTCCTCCTTCACTAATAATCAACTCACAATAATTATCTTATATCTTTCAGTCTAACCAACTTATTGATAGCTTATAGTCTATTGCTAATTCCAACTATAACCTAACCACTATTTTATTTTATATTGATGGTTTTGTTATTGAGCTTGGTATCTCTCAATACTCTATAGGCATAGATTGGGTTCAAGATAATAATTCTGCAACTATTCATTCATTTTAGATATAAGTCAAATTCTGGTCATGCTCTTTTAAAACTAAAATTTTTCCATTCTCTCAGCAATTATAATTGCTTCTAGAAACTGCTCTGTTTATATCTTTATAGACTCATAATTTGTTATCTCCAAATACTATAATATCTGCTTATCAGTATTCAAACTCTCTCATACTCATATTTCATATTTCTCTATTTGGCAAACTCTTATCAACTTCATTAACTTATACAATATTCAACTTATTTTTCATAAAGTTACTGCACACCAAGATGACCCATTTAATAACCTTGCTAACCAACTTGCTTATAGTTACCAAATCCTACTCTTTTTATATTCCTAACTAAAAATTTTTACAACCCTACCTATATTTTATTTATTGATCAATTTCCTATTAAGATTCCTATTCGTGTTCTATTCATACCATCTGTCAAGCTCACATTATAACATTTTGAACATCTCAACATCATTTTTAACAATGGTCTACTATTGCTCCTAATATCAACTGAAAACCCACTTGGCTTTATATTAATAATAATCAAAAGATTTCTAACTTTGCTTATAGCTTTCACTCCTCTACTCTAAAAACCTTTTATGTTAAAATTCTTTTGGATGAATTATCTGTTTCTCATATTCTTCACAAACATAACTCTTTTTACTCTCTTCTCTGTCACCAAAGCAATCAAATTAGCTCTTTATTATACTGGACTCTTTGTTCTTCTACTCAAACAATTTATCATTTAATTTCTAATTCTCTTAATTGCATCTTAAATGCTACTGCTCTTGACATGTCCTCTGACCTTGTTTCTAATTTATATTAAGAAATTCTTATACTTAATAACTTTAAATTGCATAACTTTTTATATATGTCATCTCTTATTTTTACTCTATCTGGTTTAGTTTCTATTGACCTTATTTCTACTATACATAATACTTCTATTTCTTACTGAACAGTTACTTTTCTTTTTATTAAATTTCTTCTTTATTTAAACCAACAAATATACAAACAAATATAGATTTCATATTATATTTCATGTTTTGCACAATCTCAAATTCACTTATTACAAATCTAACTCATAGTTCTTCTTCTAGTCTATCCCCTATCTTAGTACCTCAAATTATTACCAAAATTGACCTTTGGACTATTAATGGATTAAATATCATATCTTTCTCTCTTATATTATTACTAACACCCAAATCTAGATGAGCCTTGATTACTCTTGTAGGTTTAGGTTGCAGATTATATGTCTGAGTCTTTATTCTTCATATGTAATTTAAAAGCAAGCTTTTCTTTGTAAAAACTTCAATTAAATTTCAATAAAGTTAAAGGCATGGCCTCATCATTAATATTTAAAAAAATAAAAAATAAATAAATATGATATAATTGTTATAACTGTTTGACAGGCAAGAACAATCAACACACATTACACTAAAACATATAACAACAATATAATATCTAACTCTTATTATACTTTTCTTTATAACTAAAACATCAAGTCTGAAGCTTTATTTAAAGAATGAAAAACCACTCTTATAATTTTGAAGTATATATATATAACATTTACATATTTAGGATGTTCTTAAGCATCTTAATCAATTGGACAAAAAGTGTTGATGAATAAGTTTTACTTAGCAGAAAATACTTTAACACAGTTAAAAGTGTTTAATATCGTAATAAATATTTAGATAAACATTGTAGTTTAATAAAGTTTATTAAATAACCAATAAATTTTTATTAGTAAAAATTATTACACGAGTTTATCATTTTAATATACAAATATTTTACAGCAGACCACCTTTTTTTTTATCTCTGCATTGGCAAAATTTACAACTAATTAAGTATTCAAAGAGATTTCACAAGTAATCTTATCATGCAACCTTATTATGCAACAACCGAAAGTTAACGAACTGAATGAAGTAATAATGACATTTGATAAAATATTGATGAATCGCTAAGTATCAATTAGAATTCTTAATTTGATTGATTATAGTAAATAAGCATCAACACATTTATTAGCTAAATGCATAAAGAATAACGTTTGAGTGAACTTCGATTACTTCATAATTTACATATTCAAAAATTCTATATAAATATAATTACTGTTGTGCACTATTACGATCACTAGCTAGTCATATTGAGGTTGGAGCTTGAGAATGCCCTTGTTTCATTTAGATTACATATGAACTTGTCCCTAATTTAAAAAACTTCTTTAACCCACTATTTCTTCATTTCAATGTGATTACTCTACGCTTTAATGAGATCTGATCTCTTCGCCTTATTCTTCTCCAAATTTAGTCTTCATCTAATCTTTTAAGCCTTAAATAATCAATTATATAAATGTAACCAAATAGATAAGAAATAATGAATAAATAGACCCTTGGACACTCCAACATTTCTAACATTAGCCATCTGATTAACCTCATAACATTCTTAAGCTCATTAACTTAAATAAAATTGCACAAATACACATCCAAGTATTTATGCATGTTGTACTAGTACAATACTATACATACAGTATAACACTCATTGCTAACTTCCTTTAAGCAACTCAAGTGCCTAGTTACACAATTGAAAAATTATTATATTGGTAATCTAAACGTCACGCATCACGTGAAACGAAGAATTTTAATATAATAGAGATTATACCAGATGTGTAATTTTATTATAATGTACGGTTTGTAAATTTAATATTATATATAATGTAGTATACAATATGGACTAAAAGTCCCTCTATTATTGTATCCTCACAATGGAATATAAAAAAATGCAACTTATATACCCCCTACACTAACCATAGCATCCCTCCGACTATAATAACCCACATATGCAGCTTAAATTAAAATACCCCTGGTATTTTAGTCCACGCTGTACGATACTATACTTCCTTAATCATTCATACTATACATGTTGTTATTCCTATTTCATATCTCTATTAATAAGTAACCAGAAGGCTTTTTTACTGATTATAATGAAATTATTAGCTCTATCTCAACAGGATTATGTTAATTAAAAGTCTCGAGAATTCTTTGCCTATCATCATTTAACACACTATGCAGAATTTTAAACATATCACAAATTGTTGGACGAATAGCTGGTTCAAAATCAAGTGCTAAATAAAAATTTAAAAAATCAATACCTCTAAGTACAATAATAATACTGTAGTACATTTACTGCTTACTTTTTATTATAATATCTTTATATTCTTGTGAGAATTCTTGCGATAACTTCTTAATAGAATTCTTTAAATTAACGTTTTCATTACGAAGGATCATCTCCTTCAATTTTTTTAATTCATTAGGATCGTTGTGTTCTTCATAAGGAGGTTTTTGAAATAAAATCTCCCAGAGTAAAATCCCGAAACTAAATTAAAAATCATATATTTAAACAACCATTTATAATCATTTACATATTCTACATTAAAACTTTGATCATATCATTACATCATAATTTGTAATGTATCTATTAATAACAAGACAAACGATGGATACTTATCCATTGAAGTATGAATTATAGAAGCAAACGGCTATAATACATAATTCAATTTGAAATTATACATTTAAAAAGCTTACCTATATACCTCACACCGAAAATCGTATGGATATTGCTTATTAGGTTCTCGTTTTAATAATTCTGGAGCTGAATATCTAATATTAAATTGATTAATATCGATTTTTTGAGATACATCCGACAATAATCTACTAGAATCAAAGTTCGTAATTTTAACCATATTATAATTCATAACGATAATATTTTCGGGTCTAATATCATGATGTAGCACATTTACTGCATTTAAAAATACCAATCCTTTACAAATATCTAATACAAAACTTGATTTAATTTGAAAATTTAACTCATTTCGTGTTATAAAGTCCTTTAAATTTCCATATTCTGACCATTCTGTAGCAAAATATAGAGACGTTTCAGTTTTTACAATTCTATAAAAGCTTGTTACGTTGGGTAAACCCTCCAAACTTTTTAAAAGTGTTGCTTGAGCAAATATATCTTTTCTTTGATTTAAATCAAATTTCTTGCAGAATACAATAGAGTCACCTATTTTCAGATGGTTATCACTATTAATCTTATTTACAATTATTGTCTGTTCGTCATGTAATTTATCTTCTGATAGATTATTAGCAAGTTGGTTCATTACTTTTTTAATTACGTTGAACATGGTGTTAACATCTTTAAAATCGCACCGAATTGCCTGTACAAACTAAAACTTCCTATTAACATTAATCTTTTATTGTAGAAATAAATACATTAAATAAATAAATACCTTCGTTGTTTCTTCAATTTCGTCGTATACGTTTATAACTTTAGGTTCTTTTGTTTGGAAAAGAGATGACATTGATTCATTAAATTCTACTAATAATTTTGTAGTCTCATTGTTTATCCTTTCCAATGTAATCACAGAATTTACTTTTTGAATATAAAGTTCCAATCCTCTGATGTTAGAAATATTTTCAATAAATTTTTTAATATTCTCAACATTTTGTCGAAAGAGCATCATATCTTTCAATGTTACAGATGTATTGTAATTGTATCTCGAATTTCTTGAGTTTAAAAGTTTCATATGATACTCAGCTAATATAATACATTCATGCAATTCTGCACAGATTCTTTTATTGAGTTGCATGATTTCACAAGAATTTTGAATTTCAGAAAAAAGCTTTTCAAATGATTGTAAAAATCTAGGGGTGCTTATGGATAGTTCCATTACTTTCGTTAAATCAGATTCTTCATTTGATAGAGCTTCTGTGTCAATGTCCATTTTCTTAAGTAATCCTATAATAATTATATTCAAAAAAATCATGATATTAAGAATGTTATGCGAAATATCAACTATTCAAATAACTAACAAACCTAGCGATATATCCTTGCTTTCTTCCGAATAAATCGGTGTTTGTTTAATATTGTCAAGAGCCTTCAGTATATCAGAAATTTTGTCGTATCTATATGAAGGATTATGTTCCCAACATTTTTCATATACTTCCTTATAAGATATAGGCATTCCATCTACCGGTTTTTCTCTTTCACCAGAACAAAGCTCTAGAGTCAAGTGTTTATCATTTCTGCCATTAAATGGTAGACGACATGTGTATATTTCCCACATGACCACTCCAAAACTATAAATATCTGAACGTTTTGTATGTGTGTAGCTTGAATTAAGTGTCTTGCTAAGTAATTTTGGATCGACATAGGCTTGTATTCCTCGGACTTCGGATATATGTCCCTCATTTCTTTCTAGAAGAGATTTAGAAAGACCAAAATCTGCAAGAAGAGGATTGCCATCATGAATTAAAACGTTCTTTGAATGCTACAAAATCAACAAATTAAAAATGAAGAAATATCGTTTAATACTCATGTATAAATTAACAAAGCTGTTATAATATTTACACAAACGAACCAGATCCCTGTGTATTATATCTTTTCTATGTAAAAAATCCAATCCTTTAAGAATAGATTTATTTAAATAAATCATAGTTTTTAAATTTAGTATACTCTTGTTATTTTTATTCTCTTTAAGGTAATCTTGCAAATTGCCGTTATTCGCATATTGCATAACAAGATAATATTCTTCGGTTTTAGGGTCTACATGTGAATGTCGATAATAACCAATAATTTAGTATAATTATGAATAGTTTATATGATTGCCTATCATTTGACTTTTTAGATTGAGCACTATTTAAATTTTAGTTCACATTGTTGAACAAATATCAGTAATGATACTAATATTAGATGAAATAAACAGTTAACAATTAACTGTACAAAAAAATTTATACGTTTTCAAACTCTAATAGTCAATGGTTCAAAGTACAGTTTTTCAAAATTATTAAACGAAATTTACTTTGTGACAATCCGTAAAACTGTATAATATGTTCTTCACAATATTTTGATTCCCTCAAAGTAGTTATCTAAAATATATTCAAAGAAACAAATAATTTAGTTGCTACTGTAATTTTAAAATTTACCCTTAAATTTTAATCGCAATTCAAAATGAACTAATGGTGCCTTTTGTGAAATTTATTCCAAATAAAATCACTAGTAATTTTTGAATATCATAACGAACCTCACGCTTAAAATCTCTCTCTGATTGTTGAGTAGCTGTATTAGAAACAACTTTTATTGCTACTGTTTGTTCATTCTGCTTTCCTTTATTCCATAGTACTTTGTAAACTATCCCAAATCCACCTTCAGCTATACGTCTTATTATTTCTAACTCTTTAAATTCAATATCGCAATCGAATAAAGTTGGAATTTTAACTTTTTTTCTGTCGTCATGTTCATCTTCATCATGCCTTCTTTTGTTGCCTTGACTATTTTCAATTATTACACTTGGAGGAATGGACATGATATATAAATATATTCTTTAAAAACAAATAAACTAAAAATAGAGAATAAATTTTCTTATTTTTTCAGAATTAAAATGTTCTAGACGAATTTCCGAACATAAAACGAATTTATAGTGACCACACAAACTAATGTTACGCATCCATATAGAATTAGTATGATCAACTTCATGAAATTTCCCTGTTTAAGAAAATAAAAAAAATATGCCACAATTCCATCACAAGCAAAATAGAGGTAAGACATAATATCATTGATTATGCTAAAAAAAACTTTGCTTTAGATTTGCTTTAGATTTGTGTTATTTTTCAATGACACTAGTTTCCATAAATACACAAACCCTTAAATATGACCTCTAATACAGTATTATTACGATCGTTTTTTATGAACAAGGAAAACCATTCTTTAAATGCATATTTAAGAGTTATCAAGAAACTTTAATACACACAATGTTCCGTAAAATGTTCGTTGTTAAAGTTTTTTTTTTAAAAAAATTAAATTGTAGTTCGTACCAGCGCCGGCTTGTTGTTTGTAATCACTGATGTATATCTGTAATATAATCAAAATTTTTGCACAACCTAAACGAATGACCTACATGACATTCTGATTGAATTTTTGTAATAAAAATAGAAATTCTTTTCGTGCCCCTAATTATTTCAGGTTAATCATGTGATATTTGACCAATCAAATAGCTAGAAAAGTTAGGGTAAGTTTGGGGCATGGAATTATTAGGTGATCATGGATACGAAAAGAATTTTCGATAAATTACTCAGCCGTACATGCATGTCTGTCCGCCTTTGAATCAAGAACGATACCAATATACATTATATAATGTATAGTATATTGCTATTCTTTAAAGTGGTTGCATTCTTGATATTTTAATTGTTAAAAATCATATCTATATATAGTTATTATATATTACGTACAATGAAAGTTGGGATCTTGATATATAGTGATGGTAGGAGCAACTTTATGCTGATACTTTGATTGGTAAATTATGTAACGGTAGGCCAATCTTAAATTTCTTTAAGGTCCGTGATTTCTCCCTTTTCAACTTTTATGACCAATTTTTTCAGAGTTGCTCTGTGAGTTATACATTTGCATTCAGAATCCTGTTTCATTTACTTGTATAATATAAACTTTCTCGGCAGTCACCATCCGACTTTAAATCAAGAAAGATACCAATTATACAGTAATGATATATTAATGCTTACTTTAAGTTGGTTGAAAATCATATCTAAATGTGGTTACTACATATTACAATAAATTTCGAGAACTTGATATATAGGATGACATGAGTAAATTTATACTTATAATTGGAGAATGCATAGTGAATTATGTAGCAGTAAGATGGCAGGTTAAAATTAATTTTTTTTAAGGTTCGTGATTTCTTCCTTTTCCAACTTTTGTGAACATTTTTGAAATTGCTTTGTGAGTCGTACATTTATATTCAGAATTCTATTTCAATAACGAACACCATTTGTGTACGCATATATTCGATTTCATTTACAATTGCACAACTATTATTCCTTTGCGCATTAATACCATCGTATATATATCTCATTGTATCTTAAAAGCTCCTAGAACAATAACATTAATAAAAAAGGTATAGTTAATTAATATTATTTATATATTCCAACTTTCCAAAAGATTTTTATGCAACACATATAATAAAAAATATGCAACCTAATTTCTTTCGCCATACTATGTACTATCGCTATTAATTATTAATTTGATGTTTTTTTTTTTGCCCAACAAATGAGATTTTGTCAACGTAGTGATTGAAATTTACTTTATTGCGCTTTTCGAATTACTGTGATCAGCAAATTTCATGTATCACACTGGGAATCAGAAATTTAAAATAAATGCAAATTTGTGATTGGTTGGAAATAATTTTTATCCAATCATGTATTTGTATTTATTTAAGATTTCTGATTCGCAGTGAGGTGCGTGGAACTTGATCACAGTAATATGAAAAGTGCAATAACTTCGGTAGGTAAATTGTAATATGAATGTCGAGTGATTCAAAATGATTCAACGATGTTAATGCAGTAAAGCATGAAAACTTCAAATTCGCTTAGTGAACCTAAGCTGTTTCACAGAAAAGATAATATACCCGAGCCTCCGTAAGAAGTACTGTAAACCATATAAAAATCAATTTATTCGTTTGTGTAACGATTTACAAATTCCGGGACGGTCTCCAGAAAATCTAATTCTACAACTTTTACTAGATGTCTAAAGAAGGCTTACTCAATAAAAAAAAACCTTATTGTATCTAGCAAAATATCAATCATACGTATACTGTCTAAAGAGTACTTTAAATTCGGATTTTGTTATAAAATTTGCCATTTTTGGATCCAATCTAAGACGAATTACCCCGTAAACATTATCAAATCGATAAAAATATTTTTTAAAAAAGTAAATGAAATCAAGGTAATTACGGCTAATTTATGAAACATTCCAACATCTAAAACTTTGACTACTCATGTGTAATGCAGATTTTTGACTGGTAATCAATATTCTCAGGTTAGGGTGCATCATTATGCAGCCAAACCTCATGTGCACACTCTATAAATGAACACCCTCTTTAGGTACACATTTTTCCTTTTTTTACTATGAACCCGAGAGGGTGCACTTAAGGAGATTAATTTAGACTATAAATATAGATAAGTGTTGATTTAAAAAAAATGTCTGAGTTGCAAGAATATCTATTTTTTTATCTCGTAGTATGTTTGAAAGCTTATTTATTAATATTACATGGGGAAATTATGATTCTATACGTTTTATAAGATTCATTGAATACAAGTTTTGAAGCTGTGAAAGACCATAGTTTACGAAATATCGGAACATTGACAAACCCCATATTGCAACTTTATTAAACCAAATAAAATTACTTTGCAATATATGGCCACTTAAATGCTTTTGTTTATTCCAATTTAGGTTGTTCCGAAGCAAGATTATACAATATGCTTTTATAATTTTTTTGTATTACATGAATTAAAGTTATGAATTACAGGTTGTATACCAAATTCGTACAAGGAGACAATCAAATTCGTACAATGGACAATCAAAATTCATACAAATAGACAAATTTAATCAACTAATACATTGAAGATAAGCTAAATTTAATAGTGGCATATTTTAAGTTTTAGTAATATGTATGAAATAGTTGCTATTAAGTGCATATATCCTTGGTGCGTTATTCTAAGAATTCTGGATCCTTACGTGCTTTATTGAGATTGCTAATTTGAGATTGATTTCAATTATTTCTACTGTGCTACCAGTTTATGAGTTTTTGGAATATTTCGGAATCTATTAAAAATTCTGGCTCATATTTGTTTAGAGCTAGAAGAACTAGAAGAACCAGAACTAAAATATTGTTGTTTAATTTCTAGATCTGTTTCTTTACAAATCTTTAAATGTCTTTTGCATCTTGTAATATTTTCATTACATAAACTTTCACAATAATTACATTTAGTTTATGGTTGTTTATAACCTGAAACAGTTCCAATTTTTGTAAAATGGTCCTAAACTTTATGTCCTATTATAAACAGCTTGGGTAAAAGAATGTATAATATATTTATTCGTAATTATCAGAAAAAAAAAGCGTTGTGAATAAATAAAGTTTTATCCATACATACAAAATAATATATAATTGTAACGATAAACAAATATAAGTATCAGTATGTGAAACATTGTACATGTAAATAAGTTAATATAGAATTTCACATACAGTATGTAGCAATACTGTAGTGATAACTACGACCGAGGTAAAATCGCCACCAAAAAATGTTTCGAAATCATGTGGTATTGTCAATTCGTCATGATTAGGTCATGATAATAATATTTTTTAAAATATTAACGTTAACATAATTGATTTAATAAGTGATTTTTATTCTTCGATTCTTTAAAGTGAAAAGCGATTGTAAAAGCATAAACTCCAAAAACATATTATTCTAAAAATATATGTTGATTGCCGTAACTAAGTTTCCATTGACAGTGTACGAAAAAAGAAAGAAAATTGAAATAAAATTATAAAAACTAATCAAGAAAATGCAATTGAACCAGAAAACATTGTAGATTTTTTTTAATGCTCTCCCGGAAGATTATAATTCTGATTTTTTATTTGAATCCAGGACGCAACAACAAAAAATCATTGAGGAAAACAAATAGTTCGATAGCATTAATAAAACTTTGTGCCATTGCATAAATTGGGAGATTATAATCATTTTAATAGGCAATGGAATATTCCAAATACTTAGAAAAACCGTAATCATAATACTTTCTTGCTATAATAAATATTACGTTTATTGAGTTATTCGAAATAAATAAATGATTAATTTATTACTTATCGCAAGTTTGTTGGTTGGATTTTTTTGTTAAGTTACATGAATATTTAGTGCTCGATATATTTGTCACGTGATATTCGAACTTTTTTGGCTAACTATAAATCCGTGCATAGTAATTAAATAATCTATCAGCATTATACATATTGCTTTACCGACAATATTAGTATATATAAAAATCATGCGCATGATTTTTTAATTTCACTAATTTTATGCGCATCATGCACATGAGCATGCGCATGATCATGCACATGAGCATGCGCATGTCATGCGCACTAGTCGATGTGCCTAAATTTTTGGCTTGCTGTAAATAAAAATTGCCGAAATATTTTAGGCAGCCTAAACCAACAGGATGGAACGTCGATATTACACGACTGAACCTTCACCCAGTGTGCAACATACAAAAAAATTATTTTACAATGCAAGGTCATTCCGTTAGTACATGTTATGATTATAATTAGAGATGGGCAAATCGCGGTTTCTCCAAAAATCCCGCGCGTGATTCATTAAACCACAAAAAATGCACGGTTGATCCTCGACTAAGATTGGCCAACGACGGTGATCAACAAAATTCTGGCCCGCATTACGCATTCTACTAATTTTAGTCGGAATTCAATTTTTTAATTTTTAATTGCGAAAATGAAAAATTTATGGTGCC